CAGAAACGACCACCAGACCACATGGCCTGAGACCTGGGAACAGGTGGAACCCTGGGGTAAATGGGGAGGGGGTTTGGACGCTAGAGAGGCAAACGCCTCAAGCCTAAGGCACCTGCACCAAGTAGGCTGTGGGGATCCTGAGTGAATAGGAAAGCTCTGTAAGGACCCGCCAGTGGAGGCAGGCTAACCAACACAAACACATACATAAACAAGGTGACCTTGGACAGCCGTACCTGCTAAGATGACGGTAAAACAAGACAACACAGAGTAACCGGGGGTGAGCTTATTTTAAATAAATGGTCAGGGTCAGCCTCTCTGAGGAGGCGACACTGAGGTGAGAGGTTGGAAGGCCCAGACCAGGGAGGGCCTCGTAGGTTCTGGTGAGGGGCTTGTATTTCATCTTCCAAGCGACACGCAGTCGGTGGGCAGTTTTAGTCATGGAAGGACATGATTTTTACTCCTGTTAGGATACTTTTTTTAAAAACTTGTCATTGAGGTCTAACCCACGTAACGTAGAGCAGAAAAGCATGTTCATCCCAGGAGGACAGCTCAGGGTCTTTTCCTGATATAGACACCCACGGAACCCGCACCCAGATCAAGAGATTGAACATGGCAAGATCCAGAAGGCTCCCTCGTGTCCCTTCCAAGTCAGTCTCCCCTCCACGAGGTAACCACTGTTCTGACTTTGATCATCACAGGTGGATTTTGCGTGGTTTTGAACTTCATATAAATGGAATCATGCAATACATGTTCTTCTGCGTCTGGTTTCTTTTGTCCAATATTACGTGTGCGTGACTCGTCTGTGTGGTGTAATTCATCCTTGTTAATTACTGTGTAGTATTCCATTTCTTTCACTCTCCCAAAGCTGGGAGGAGATTGTTCTCTGCCTGTGATCCGATCTTCTGATGTGGACACTGAATGCACCGCCCCTGAAGACTGACTGCCTGGGACCATCCTCAGTTTCCTCCTTAGCCAGCACTGGGCTTGGCACAGGACAGAACAAACACCATGTTGGCTGGGTAGGGTTGAGCTGAAAATTCCCTCAGGACCAGGCAGGTGATCTAGACTAGACACTCCTAGACTCCTGCTCTCCAGGCCTGACACCTCCCAGGCTCTGGCCGTCCCTCCAACACCCCTCCCTCTTAACCAAGTTCAGGTGCTCGCACTTGGCTGGGCAGGGGTTCTGGTGGTTGCCGAGCCCAGAGTCCCTCGTGGCCAGTGTGAGGGACGTCGCGGGAAATGAGAGGAGCTGCGGCCAGCCGCCAGGCAGTGACTCTACACCCAAAAAATGTGCTCTTGGCCAGGCTCTCCTTCCTCTCTCCTCTCGGCCCTTCCAGGCAGCGAGGAGTTGGCAGGCCCGGGTGCAGATAACGGCGAGAGCCCCAGGCCCTCTTCTGTCATCGCCTCCCCAACGTGAAACCCAAGATCTTGTTTATTTATGAGGAAATTCTGTTCTGCTGCTCGACAAATGGCGTATGGGGGCCAGGGCACATGGAGCGTGGAGCCGGCCCAGCCAGGCCTCAGCATGCTGCACCTCTCTGCTGATGCAAGCTCAGAAGGGGCTGGCAGCAGCTAGAGGGCCCGGCCAGCTTGACACTCCCCAGATGGGGGATTGGCGGTGCGGGGAGGGGTCCTCCCTTCCCCCCTGAACGGCCAGAACCCCCCCTCCCTGCTTCCCCATAGAGCCATCGGCGGATTGGTCAGGAAACCTCAGATACTAACAGCCTGGTGGTCAGTCCCCTGAACCTACCTCAGGACCAGCACCAAACCTTCTGTGGCACTCACTTCCTGCCTACCTTGCTGGGAGAGTGAAATGAGCTTCTGTCAGTCCCTGAGGGATGGAAGAGGGAAAATCAAATTAAAAAAATCTACCAAGGGCCCACAGCATGTTGGGGGTTTACGTTCTCCATCTCATTCGATTGGCCGGTAGCACCAGCAGGTGGATGTGAGGGTGCTGGTTTTATGATGAGGGGTGGAAGGGCGGAGTGATGAAATAGCTTGCCCGGCCTAGTACCTGTGAGAGGCGTGACTCCAGCCAGGGCCTGCCGACTCTCGCTCTGCTGTCCGGGGGGGACTGAGTCGAGCGCTCGCTCAGAGCAAGTACCCAGCTGTGGCAAACTAGAGCGGAATGGGTTTGCGTCTGACTCGAAATGGATGTTCCTTTCCTTCCGTCACACCTCCCTGCCTCTCAGAGTGAAATGCCCTTTAGCAGTATGTGCGATGGGGTCCCAAGTGGTGAGACGGCACCCACTTTGGGACAAAGATTGCTCATTTTAAATTCCCTTTAGAATAGGTCCGGCACTAGCACAGCTCATACCATCCAAACCAGGGTCGCTCACTGACCCTCCACCTCTGTTCACATTTCACCTGCATGGCTGGGGTTCGTGGCTCTGCAGTCGTGGCACGAACGTGTGCGTTTATGACACCAACCCGCTCATCTGCCAGAGCTTTAGACCTAAAGCAGTAGGGAAACAATTTTTTTTAAAGATTTTATTTATTTATTTGACAGAGAGGGACAGCGAGAGAGGGAACACAAGCAGGGGGAGTGGGAGAGGGAGAAGCAGGCTTCCCGCCGAGCAGGGAGCCCATGCGGCACTCGATCCCAGGACCCTGGGATCATGACCTGAGCCGAAGGCAGACGCTTAACAACTAAGCCACCCAGGTGCCCAGTAGGGAAACATTTTTAATGACAGAATTAAGACCAAGGGTGTCAGCTATGATATAAATATAAATGGCTTAAATGCCTCAAGCAAAAGACAAAGGCTTTAGCTCCAGAACAACAAGCAAGATCATTCTTTTTTTCCCCCACAAGTTTTCAAAAGATGCTCACACCAGATCTTCCGGGACTCATCCTTATCCTTCCTAGCCTATGTGGATTCTTACATCTCTGATTTCTCTAATGCCAGCCTGCTTTATTTTTATTATAAGATCGTTCAGATGTACTTAAAAGGATAGAAAATCACGTGACACTCATCGACCTACCACTGAGATTTAATAGATGCTGACATTTGCCATATTTGCTTCAGATCTTTTTACAGGGCCCTGTCCCTTCCCTCTCACTAACTTGAAGATGTTGTGTATAACAATTTCCATGCAGGTTTAATGCCTTTTCTACATATGGGTGTATCCACAAACTGTATATGACATTGTTTTGTGCTTTTAAAATTTACCTAAATGATATCATGTAAGAGATCTCTTTCTGCAATTTGCTTTGTGGGAAATTATACATGTTGAGACACATAGATGTCTTCCATTCATTTAAACGGCCATACAGTGCTCACCGTATAAATACACAACAGTCCTTGTACCCATTTTCACGTTGATGGACAACTGTTTCTACTTTTCTTTTTGCGAGCACAAGCAGTGCTTCGAGAATCCTCTTTGCCTGTTTCCTTGCGCACCCAAGAGAGTATTTCTCTGAAGTCGAATTTCCCGGGTGGGCTGGTTTTAACACTTACCTGGTATCTATTTTCTGCTCTCTACTTTCCTCTCCAAGGATGTAGTCAAACAGGACTTCTTAACAGGATTTGAGTTGAGGCTTGAAGAGAGAGAAGTTGTGTTGCTATAAACGAAAGTGACAGCATTCTAGGAAAAAAGAAGCCACTGAGACCTAGAGTCACATGGTGTTGTGCCCTGCCACCCTCTTTACTCTTAATTAATCCTGGGGCCCAACACTCGCATCTGTTATTCTAGCTGAGGACGAGGGGGAGCCGTCCTCACATTTGTCCTGTTGGCACTATATTAATTCTTGTACCAACTCTCATTTCAGAGCTGACAGTGGTGGTTTCTAAGCCTGGCTATGCATCATCATCACTCAGGGGACTTTAAAAAATACACAGATTCCTGAGTCTGCACCTGGAGATTCAGGTTCAGTGGTCTGGAGCTGAGCCTGGGAATCTCTCCCAGGCAATTCTGCTGCAGCCAGTCTGTGGCCGAGCACTCGGGAAGCAGCCTCTAAACTGCCAGCAATGTCTGTTGGTAAAGCCATCAAGAGGACGCAGCCTCTGGTCATGCGCTCAGCTAATCTTGCCCGCATATCCCACCGCTGCACTGCTGGGCTTCTGTGAGTACCGTGGTCAAGGCTTGCTTGAGATGCCCTCAAGCCCCTCAGCGGCTCCTCATATGGAGTGCTGCTCCCTGGATTGAAGGAAACTGGCAGAACCATGGAGGGACTAGATTGTATCTCCCTGACCAAATGTAGTGGACCCTTGCCTCATCCTTCTCCCTGTTTCCATGGGACAGGCTGGAGAAGGGGGCTTGGCTCGGCCATGTGAGAGCTAGTCTGTACCACTGTCCATAAACAGTGATACAAACAATATGAACACAAAAAGCAGTCTCGGCGAGGAGGGAATATTATGATCCCCATTTTACAGACAAGGAAACTGAGGCACAGCTAGGAAGCAGTGGAACCAGGCACACTGGCTTCAGTATCTGTCGGCAGAATGATTCTGCTAGACCCTGCCATCTCTTCACCCTGATAGACCCTTTCTCCTCTCCTAGGAGCACGGTCTGAAAAGGACCCATATCTGGTCTTCACCCCCTTCCATTCTGGGGTGATGTGGGGAGTTTCCAGTCTGTAATGCAACTTTTCTTATCTCAGTCTGCATTGAAAATAACTTGTAGCTGTTCATACGTGAATGGTAATACAGCAACTGCCATTTCCTGAACCCTTACTCCTACTATGTGCCAGACCCACAAAAGGACAGGTGACATGGGTCCTCACATGCAACCCCCCCCACTGCCCACCAGACACACACACACACACACACACACACACAGCACTGCACGGGACATCAGAAGGGTCCTTTTGGGAGAAAACAGCCACATAGAGGCTGGGTCCTTTGGCCGAGGGTTGCATGGCCACTCCGCTAAGCTTGGAGTGCATCTCACCCTGGGGCCCGTTCTTTCCACCACTTCATGCATATTCTAGTTCCTTCTTTAGACTGAAGTCAATGCATATAATGACAATAAATGGCCGTAAAAAAAAAAAAAGGGGGCGCACACGGAACAGGCACCGGCGCCCGGAGCGAGCCAGCGAGCCGCGAGCAGCGAGCCGGGGACCCCCGGCTGAGCCAGCAGAGCAGCCAGCGAGTCGAGCCCGCGACGACCCTACGCCCCCGCGCCCCGTAGCTGCCCCCAGCCGGCCGGTGTCCCCGCCGCCCTCCCTGACCCATGGCGCTGAAGAGGATTCAGAAAGAATTAAGTGATCTACAACGCGACCCACCTGCTCATTGTTCAGCTGGACCCGTGGGAGATGACTTGTTCCACTGGCAAGCAACTATTATGGGACCTCCTGATAGCGCCTATCAAGGTGGAGTCTTCTTTCTCACTGTACATTTTCCGACAGACTATCCTTTTAAGCCACCAAAGATTGCTTTCACAACAAAAATTTACCATCCAAACATAAACAGTAATGGAAGTATTTGTCTTGATATCCTGAGGTCACAATGGTCACCAGCTCTGACTGTATCAAAAGTTTTATTGTCCATATGTTCTCTACTTTGTGATCCTAATCCAGATGACCCCTTAGTACCAGATATTGCACAAATCTATAAATCAGACAAAGAAAAATACAACAGACATGCAAGAGAATGGACTCAGAAATATGCAATGTAAAATAAAAAAATATTTCATATATACCAGAGTACTGTAAAATCTAGGTTTTTTTCAACATTAGCAGTAAATTGAGCACTGTTTACTGTTTCATTGTACCATGAAATCCTTTGATTTTTACCCATTTTACATGTATTTCTGAAGCAAGACAAAACAAACTTCCAAAAATACCCTTAAGACTGTGATGAGAGCATTTGTCATTTTGTATGCATTGAGAAAGACATTTATTATGGTTTTTAAGATACTTGGACATCTGTATCTTCAGCTTACAAGATCTGCAATGCATCTGAAAAGTAACCAAATTATTTTTTGCTGAAACTAGATGTTTTTACATGAGAAATACTGTATGTGTTGTCTAAGATGTCACCATTTTTATAAATCTGTATTCAGATTTCATTCTTTGTTAGCTCACTTTATAATTTGTATTTTTTTACTGTATAGACTAAATATATTCTATTTACATGTATGTCAACTCATTACCTTTTTCCTGTGAACAGTATTGAAAAAATGCAACAGCTGGTAATTAAGTGAATTAACTGTCTCCCTTGTCTTAGGGTATTCGGTAGATTGATTGCAGATTTCTTAAACCTGAAAGGATCTTTACACTGTAATTCTCAGTATCCTGATTATGGAGAAACACTTGTTTTGATTTTGTTATACTTGACTTAACTTTATTGCAATGTGAATTAATTGCACTGCTAAGTAGGAAGATGTGTAACTTTTATTTGTTGCTATTCACATTTGAGTTTTTTTTCTGTATAGGCAATATTATATTGACACCTTTTACAGATATTAATGTAGCTTTTTCCATATAAATAAAATGCTTTTTCTACTAAAAAAAAAAAAAAAAAAAAAGGGAGGAGAGCCTTCCCCAGGACTAGAACAATGACCAGTTTCTTGGGACTCTTCTTCCAGAGGGATCCTGGATGTCTTGACTGTGCCATTAACTGCCTCATCTCACTCTGGGTTGATCACTGCAGTGCTTCCTCCCTGCCCACTGCCCACTCCAAACTTGTGCCCTCAGCTCTGTTCTCCAGTCAATACCAGAGCCAACTTCCACATGCTGATCTGATGCTAACATTCCCCTTCTCAGAGAATCTCAGGGACTCCCTACTACCATTTCTCTTTCTATGTAAGAAAGTTCAGTGTCCCAGCTCTTCGCACATCCCAAATCACTGAGCTAGCCCTGAGGCTGTTCCTTCACAACACTGAGTGAGTCCCACTAGGAGCTGGGGGTAAAGTGGTAAATAAAACCAAGCATGTTAAATATTGGGCCCAGCCATGTACCCAAGGCAGACATTGCTAGCTGATCACAGCACTCTGCAGCCTCTGTGCCCCTGCCGATCAGCTATCCCTCCTGTACTTACTGGCCACACGTGTCTATTGAGCACTTCAAGTGTAGAGAGCACCATTAAGAAACTGAATTTTTACAATTATATTAGAATAGTACTTGAGTCACCCACGACTAATCCATCAGAGCTGGCACATTGAGGCAAAATCCATTTGCCATCCCTGGGTAAGAGAGAGTCTCTCCTTAGTGGACCTCCCAGGGCAGTCAGGGAGCTGGCCACAATGACAAGGGGAGAGCTGCAGGAGAGATGCACTCACACAGGGTGCGGGAGAGCAGAATCCTGGATCAATTGGTTTTGCTTGGCAGGAAGTTTGGGGGGGACCTTTTAAGAGGTGGCTTTTGAATGGATGCCAGAGCAGAGGAAGGGCATTCCAGGCCAAGAGAACAGCAGGAAGAGAGGCACAGAGGTGTATGAGAGGGCACAGCAGGTGGTTGAATGTGGGGAGGGGGCACTTGGGCGTGGCTGCAGCTTTGAGCTCATGGGAGAATTTGAAGATGCTTGAGCTCTGTTTCTAGGTGTTGAGAGGCAGAAAGGAAGAACCCAGCTCGGGCCCAATGCCCACAGCTGACACTTCACAAATCTTTGCTCCGCTTCCTAACTCCCAGGCCCTTGATGAGGCTAGCTGAAAGTACAAGAAGGAAAGCAAATCCCAAAGGTTTGAAAAAACAAAAAATCCCCAAATCCTAAGCACAAGCTCCCACAGCCAGGGCTGGATAAGAGATGAGAATTAGTTCATGTATAGGAGTCAAGCTGTATCTCCCCTTGAGGCCCACACTTTGGCTCCGTAGGTGGCTCATTATTTTTATCCATTGGTCCAATCATCATCAATGTTGATTAAGCAGCTACTCGGGGCAATAAATTATGAAAGATACAAGGGTAAAGTCCAAATACAAAAATAGTTTACAAGGTTGGGGACTCAAGACATGCTTATTAAAAATTTAACTAATATTACAAAGGAACAAATGGTAAACCTGGTATAAAGTAGAGGCTTGATAAGTATTTTCCAAGGCATGTTAAGGATGTTCACTACAGTATTGTTTATGAGAGTAAAAAGTAGAAACAGGCTTCCACCCATAGGGCAGCAGTTAATAAAGTAGGGTATATCACCACTAAATGTTTGTCTTTTGCTGAGAAGATGGACGGATGGATAACTGAGTACAAGTTCAGAGCAGAGAGAGTGAAAGAAGTGAAAGGGGAAGGTTAGAGAAGGCATCATGGTGCAACAACATGGGAGAAAATGCCCAGCACATAGCACACAATCAGTCAACATAAACTAAAGTTTCCCCCGGGGTATGAAGTAAAGTAACCTCCAACCCAAAGACCCCCAGGAATGTCCTGAGGACCCCATTATGCCCATGAACACATCCCCCTCTGCAAGGACCTGGCTGCCCACCATCTCCTGTGGTTGCTGCACACAAATACTGAAAGTGGAAGATTGTGACCACAACAGGGAGGATGGCTCACTCCCTCTCTCAGTCCTACAGCATGCCTTTTTGGACCCCTCTGTATTGCAGAATTTTCCCTTCTATCGACAGTCTGTGGCTAGCTTGTTGCTGAGGCCAAATATGAGTCCAGGGACTTGGGCTGGAGACAAATTCAGGAAGCATCTCTGTGACTTTTTCAAGGCTCCTCCCCAAGTCAGCCCTGTGTGCCCAGGTCTTTCTTCTTTCCCAGGGAACTCCTCATCCCTCCTGTATATCCATATATGTGGGTCCATCCCATCAGTTCACCAGACCCACTCCAAGGCGTGTTTGATTTCCATACAAGCTGGGACAGTCCTACCCCCACACCCCCTTGCAACCTTCCAACATACACACATGCATGTGTACATACATGCTCACTTGTGGGATTGAATGAATGAACTGACTTTTGAGGAGCGGGGAAAGAAGTGGTCATTGAGGTGGAAGTCTCCTCACATGGGGAGGAAATGCCCTAAGTCCTCCCTGCCTCTGGCTCAAAAGGGAAGGACTATCTCCCTCATACTTGTGCACCAGGACCAGATTCCCCTGACAGGGGTGCCTTTGCCCCATTACTCCTGCACCCTTTACTCTCCACTAACCCAGGGCACAAAGCACTGGAGGAAGGAAAGGCCTTGTTGCCTTTTAGATGAGCCCCACTCTGATCAACGATTTTCAAACTCTGAGCTCAGGGAATCCATGATAATAAAGAGCTCTGGCTCCCGAAGACTTGCAACAGGCATCAACTTGCTTTATTTCCACCTCAGTGCTGGGAGGTGTCAAAGGGAGGACTTCTATGCCTATTTCATAAATGAAGAACCTTGAGGTCTTGGCTGGGAAGCTCTGTGCCTAAAGACAGTCAAGAGCCAGATCTTGAAGAAAGAGCATGGGAGTGTGTTCCCCGGATTATCTACACCTACTCATCCCTGAGGCTATGAGAACACACTTAGGAGGATCAGGCTTAGTCTGAATTCCTGGAGGTTCAGGACTATAGTGAAAAGAGCCACTGGCTTTGAGCCAGACCTGTGTTCAAATCCTGACTCCAACACAGTTCCCTGTGTGATCTTAGCCAAGTCTCACTCCACCCTATAAAGGGTCCTACAGCCCCATCCCCAAGCACACACACATACACATACCCAGAGAGGGAGCAAGGCTGTCTCAGAGAGCAATTTAGACACCATGTAAAAATGCTACACACCTAGATATGAACACAAAGCTATTTCTTGTGTTGGCATCATCCACCAACATGGTACCTGAACTTCCAAAGAAAAACCATTGCCAGGAAGGCTATGGGAGTCCTAGCTTGACCTTTAGGATTTCAAAGTTGTAATGAAAGTAGGTAACTTGGGGATACCCAAAATCTATTTATCCTCCCTGATAACGTAACAAAGTTTTCTCAGAAAACACCCTCACCCTCACCCCTTGCATGGATTCTTGGTGGAAAAGTAAATGCAAGTGTTCAATAAGAAATAAATGTATTGGGCGCTTGGGTGGCTCAGTTGGTTAAGCGACTGCCTTCGGCTCGGGTCATGATCGTGGAGTCCCTGGATCGAGTCCTGCATTGGGCCCTGCTCGGTGGGGAGTCTGCTTCTCCCTCTGGCCCTCCCCCCTCTCATGTGCTCTCTCTCATTCTCTCTCAAATAAATAAATAAAATCTTTTAAAAAAAAAGAAAAGAAATAAATGTATCAATAACAAAGCCAAAGGACTATATCCTTTTTCTCATACATTTGGTATGGTATCCGGTAGGTTATGGAAGCTAGACTGAACTCCCTATTAGGGCTTGGGATCTTGATCCTACAAGGAAAGGAGGATGGCTGGAGGACACTCACTATGGCAGTGGCCGAGTTTACAGTGCCTGCTGCAAGAAGGTTACCATGGCTCCCAGAGATGCCCAGAGATGACAGACAACCTTCCTTTCTAAGCCCGTTCCTCCCACATTCCACCAATTTTATGGTCCTTCAGCATACTTCCAATGGCTACCCAGCCAACACTGTTAGCCAGCCCTTTTTTCTGTTGCTTACAAGCAATGAAGTCTGAAAGAAAGATGGATGCCGAGTGTGCATTCAGTAACCATTTGTTGAATGCATGCATGAATGAGTGAGGAAATGAATGTATGTATGAATGAATGTACAGTGGATGAATGTGATAATGAATGAAGGATAATGAATGTCTCTATGCACTTACCTCAACACCCTTATTGAGGGTTTGAGGATTTGATCTCAACACCCTTCCCCCACTCTGGCAACAGCTACAAGGGACCTTCTTTCAGGGCTTTGATGTTCCAGGTTCTCTTCTTGTACAGAGCCTTGTCACATGCTGTCTCCTCTACTTGAGATGATCCTCTCTTCGCCTTGGTAGCTTTTAATCTTCAAATTCAGTCATTTACTTGGGAAAGTCCCTGGCTCCCCATACCAACACCAGATTGGACAGCCATATTGTCTCTCTCATAAGCCGCTGTTGTTTTTCATCAAAGCACCCATCTCAGTAAACTAAACACTTTTTTTGTGTCGTCATTTAATTAATATCTGAATCTGTCTAGACTCTGATCTCTATGAAGGTGGGACAATGCCTGCTTTGCTCAACACTCCTGCACCCCGCCCAGTATTCTGAAGGTGGCAAGTATTCAAATGCCTGTAAATATCTGTTGCATAAATAAATGAAGATGCATTCCCCTTAGCAGGAAAGAACAGAAGATCTTGACCCCAATAAGCACTCAATAAATGCCTGTTGTTGAGCTTGAACTTGACAGCTCAATCCCATGGACAGGGTCAGTTCCTGGAGCTCAGTTGAGCACTAAGAGAGCCTGAGGTGAAGGTGAGGGAGGGAAGTGGTTATAAAAACCTGGAAAGAGAGGGGCCCAGCAGGGAGGCTGGAGGTGGCCAAACGCCAACTTCTTCCTCTGCTCTTGGCTGTGGACCGGCCAGGAACCCAGGTGTCCTGGCACCCAGTGTGCTGCTTGTTCTATTAGGCATTAGGAAATCTGCTCTGAATATTAAACAGCCTGTGCCTCCACTCCAGAAAGAAAGGAG